GTACACATACACACACTCCTCCACACACTCTTACACACTCCTACAGACGCCGCCTTATGAGACTGAGGGTGTGTTTACACTAGAGATGCACTGATATGAAGGTTTTGGCCGATACCGATAATTCTTTATATTTGAAAGCCGATGACCGATATATCGATATATATATAATTTTTGAGAGTCTGATTACAAAAACAAAAGTCTCACCATTAAAACCCATGTCCCAACCTCACAATTATAATAATGTTCTGATTATAATTTGATGTAGTCGGGAGAATCCCTGCCGCCGTTTTGAAGTGCGTCACTTTCGTGAAGTGACCGAGGGAGGTTTATATGGACAGCCTATCATATCATATACAACATATCCCACAATGCAACACGATTGTGACGTCACCACAGATCTCGTCTAATCACCACCACAAACAACTCTGATATATTAATTATGATATTTTAATTTAAAACAACCCAAACACATCTATATACATTTGGATGCTGCATTAAACAAATTCTTAAAGGAAAATAAATAAATAATAATAAATCAACTCGAAAGCTGACTCTAACTTTACTGAAGCTAACTTTACTGACGCTAACTTTACTGAGGTTAACTTTACTGACGCTAACTTTACTGAAGCTAATTTTACTGAAGCTAACTTTACTGAAGCTAACTTTACTGAAGCTAACTTTACTGAAGCTAACTTTACTGAAGCTAACTTTACTGAAGCTAACTTTACTGAAGCCAACTTTACTGAAGCTAACTTTACTGAAGCTAACTTTACTGAAGCTAATTTTACTGAAGCTAACTTTACTGACGCTATCTTTACTGAAGCTAACTTTACTGACGTTAACTTTACTGAAGCCAACTTTACTGAAGCTAACTTTACTGAGGCTAACTTTACTGAAGCTAACTTTACTGACGCTAACTTTACTGACGTTAACTTTACTGATGCTAACTTTACTGACGCTAACTTTACTGACGCTAACTTTACTGACGCTAACTCTATTGAAGCTAACTTTACTGAAGCTAACTTTACTGACGCTAACTTTATTGAAGCCAACTTTACGGAAGCCAACTTTACGGAAGCCAACTTTACTGAAGCTAACTTTACTGAAGCTAACTTTACTGAAGCTAACTTTACTGAAGCTAACTTTACTGAAGCTAACTTTACTGACGCCAACTTTGCTGACGCCAACTTTACTGTAGCTAACTTTACTGAAGCTAACTTTACTGACGCCAACTTTACTGAAGCTATCTTTACTGAAGCTATCTTTACTGAAGCTAACTTTACTGAAGCTAACTTTACTGACGCCAACTTTGCTGACGCCAACTTTACTGTAGCTAACTTTACTGAAGCCAACTTTACTGACGCCAACTTTGCTGACGCCAACTTTACTGTAGCTATCTTTACTGACGCCAACTTTACTGACGCTATCTTTACTGAAGCTAACTTTACTGATGCTAACTTTACTGATGCTAACTTTACTGAAGCTAACGTCTGTCATTGTTTCTATAGTCTTGCGTTATAATCGTAACGTTACGCCGTCATGCCTGAGTGTTTTGTACCAGACTGCTCACACACGAGCAGCGGATCTCGCTCGTTGTTTCGCTTCCCGGGAGATGTAGTTCATCGAGCGATTTTCACATAAAACTAAATGTTATTCTTCTGTTTCATGACAAACTGCAACTTTCTTGACTTTCATAATTATCTTTTAAATTGACAAACATCATATGTGTAATTCAGGGCACAGTTTAGACGGAATAAAAAGATAAGTTGTCTCTCGCCATTGACTACCGTACATATTTTTTCCGAAATAAGGTCCCATGAGCCGGAAGCGGAGGGGGAGGGGCTTAGGCTCTCTATACGCTGATTTCACGCAGCCGCCATTTTTAAATCGAAAGCGAGGCTCTGGTGGGAAGAACCCCGGAAGTACAGATACCAAGTACCAACCTGAAGCTGCTGCGGCGATTTACACTATTGGATGTTAATATCCAATATAGGATATGAATATAGTTCGTTCCTGCTTCTTTATTTACTTTCGGAATTATATACACTCACCTAAAGGATTATTAGGAACACCTGTTCAATTTCTCATTAATGCAATTATCTAATCAACCAATCACATGGCAGTTGCTTCAATGCATTTAGGGGTGTGGTCCTGGTCAAGACAATCTCCTGAACTCCAAACTGAATGTCAGAATGGGAAAGAAAGGTGATTTAAGCAATTTTGAGCGTGGCATGGTTGTTGGTGCCAGACGGGCCGGTCTGAGTATTTCACAATCTGCTGAGTTACTGGGATTTTCACCCACAACCATTTCTGGGGTTTACAAAGAATGATGTGAAAAGGGAAAAACATCCAGTATGCGGCAGTCCTGTGGGCGAAAATGCCTTGTTGATGCTAGAGGTCAGAGGAGAATGGGCCGACTGATTCAAGCTGATAGAAGAGCAACTTTGACTGAAATAACCACTCGTTACAACCGAGGTATGCAGCAAAGCATTTGTGAAGCCACAACACGCACAACCTTGAGGCGGATGGGCTACAACAGCAGAAGACCCCACCGGGTACCACTCATCTCCACTACAAATAGGAAAAAGAGGCTACAATTTGCAAGAGCTCACCAAAATTGGACAGTTGAAGACTGGAAAAATGCTGCCTGGTCTGATGAGTCTCGATTTCTGTTGACACATTCAGATGGTAGAGTCAGAATTTGGCGTAAACAGAATGAGAACATGGATCCATCATGCCTTGTTACCACTGTGCAGGCTGGTGGTGGTGGTGTAATGGTGTGGGGGATGTTTTCTTGGCACACTTTAGGCCCCTTAGTGCCAATTGGGCATGGTTTAAATGCCACGGCCTACCTGAGCATTGTTTCTGACCATGTCCATCCCTTTATGGCCACCATGTACCCATCCTCTGATGGCTACTTCCAGCAGGATAATGCACCATGTCACAAAGCTCAAATCATTTCAAATTGGTTTCTTGAACATGACAATGAGTTCACTGTACTAAAATGGCCCCCACAGTCACCAGATCTCAACCCAATAGAGCATCTTTGGGATGTGGTGGAACGGGAGCTTCGTGCCCTGGATGTGCATCCCACAAATCTCCATCAACTGCAAGATGCTATCCTATCAATATGGGCCAACATTTCTAAAGAATGCTTTCAGCACCTTGTTGAATCAATGCCACGTAGAATTAAGGCAGTTCTGAAGGCGCAAGGGTGTCAAACACAGTATTAGTATGGTGTTCCTAATAATCCTTTAGGTGAGTGTATATATATATCTAAAAAAATATATATAAATGAATTTCACTGTATATAATCTAAAGTATGAAAGAAATGTATGTACATTTTTAGAATAACTATTTTCTACATTAAACACAACACTACGCCATCGCATTCGCGACTCTCCTATGATTAAAGGCGGCACTTCCGGTTTAGTTCCCACCGGAGCCTCGCTTTCGATCTCAAAATGGCGGCTGCGTGAAATCAGCGTATTGCAGTTCCCGCCAGTAGTCGGCAGCAGTGACGCACATCCGAGTGAACGAGGCGGAGTTAGCGAGTGAAGGGCGGGATCATTTCGGACTGGAACGCAGCAATAGTGAGCACAGATCCACATTTCGGAAATCCCCCGGAAATAGTAGACCATCCCGGGATTCTGACACACTCTTTTCAACACACTATGCTTTGAGACACACTTATTTTAATCTCACACACTGTCTAGGACGGATAGTGTGGCGTTGAGACGCAGGGCTGGTCAGTTCCTGATCTCACTCGATTGAATATTCAGTTTCAAACGCATTTTTACAAGTAAAACGCGAACCCTGTCATGTTGAAATAAGTGCTAGTGATTGTTGTTTTCTACTATATTAATTTAATCATGTCAGTATAAGAAATGCTGCATGAACGAACCACAGCTCAAGTGCTTATTATTATTAGTAGTAGTATTATTTTTAACAGACACCTCTTAGAGTTATTATGTTCACATGATTTGTAAGAAGTCTCTTCTGCTCACCAAGGCTGCATTAATTTGATTAAAAATACAGTAAAAACAACAATATTGTGAAAATATTATTACAATGTAAAATAACTGTTTTCTATGTGAATATATAGCAGAAAGTAATTTATTCCTGCGATCAAAGCTGAAAATTCATCATTACTCCAGTCTTCCGTCCTATTAATGATGAAATCACTCGTCTAATATGATGATTTGCTGCTCAAGAAACATTATTATCAATGTTGAAAACACTTTATTTTTGGGGAAACATCTTTTCCGGATTATTTGATAAAAAAAAGTTCGTAAAAGAACAGCATTCATGTGAAATATAAATCTTTTGTAATATTAAATATGCATTTACTGTCACTTTTGATCAATTTAATGCATCCTTGCTGAGTAAAAGGATTAATTTCTTTTTTCTGAGTGCAAGTGTGTATTGGGTCAGTGTTTCTTCTGGCACAAACGCGCGGCCGTTGGTATTGGGTGCTTCTTCTGTGAGTGTGTGTCTTTATTAGTGGATTAGTGTCTTTATTAAGAAGAGAGCTTTACACACAGAAGTGTGTTTTCTGCATGAGATCCGTTCCTCATTAGTAGGTTCATTATTCATGAGTCCGGCAGAGCTTTGTTGAATGGACCAGCACACACAACAAGAGTCTCTGAAACATTGAGGTGTCACATTTCATCCAGCAATCTCTGCGCTGTCAGACTCTCTCAAAGACTCGTCGCCTGTCCGACACGGGCCGGCGCTGAGGGGCAAACCAGGTACGGCTCGGGGTTTGGGGGGAGAACAATCGAATTGCAAGTTTTCTGAGGAAAAATTGTGATTTTTAAAATGCGATTTAAAAAAGAAAAAGAAACCAGGTTTGCTGTGCTTGTTTGTAGGGCTGCACAATCTGGACAAAATTTGTGACTAGATATCAATATGGCTTTATAATAATAATACAAATAATAATATTAAATAAAATATAAAAACTACTAAATAAACACAGAATATAAAAATTTACTATTGTA